AAAAAATAGTTGTTTATTTTGAAAAAAATATATTGTTCTTTCAAATGGTATATTCTTTGATGTTTTATATGTTAAATAAAACTATGTACGTATTTGAAATATGTGATGTTTAATATTWAAAAAAAAATGATAAAACTCACGAAAAAAATGCAAAAGGTATTAAAAGAATAATTTCAGCGAGTATGCTTGATGTAACACTGTGTATATATAACCACTTAAACAATTGTTTTAAATTACTAAATTTATAAAAAACGTATGTTAGAGCACGTGTGAAATTTAAATAGTCTAGCTAATATTATAGATGAACATGTATACACTACGTGTCTACGTGTTRTCGAGTATTTTCATTATACATATTAGTACATCACTAAACCAATAAGTAGCCATTCGTTGAACAACTTGTAAGTAAATTTTACATATTATATTTGTTTATTTGAAGGGTAAAAATTGACGAATACTTCAACGTTTACTATATTACTATTCCTGTTGTACGCTTTTTATAGCAGCCGAGAAAAAATGTCGGATTTGAAAAAAGGTAATCGTGACAATTAATATTATAATTACTCTAGCTTATTAGTATTATTATACATACATTATTTTTTTCTCTCTCTAACTCATGCATAAAATAGAACATTTTACGTTCACAATAAGCAATGATTGTAGGTAATCATAATACTTTCTGAAATTAAAGTGAACAAATKATCTCTTTTACCATTTAAAGGCAAGATCAATATCTAGGTCATTGCATAGTATTTTTATTTTTAAGTGAGTTATGAGTACCTATTTAATTTTAATTCTTTATTATTTGTTAATTTTATTATGTTGAGAAAAAAAGAAAACGAATGAGTTTACATCTTCTTAAGGCATAATTAAAGTTAATTTTACAATACTTTAGATATTTATTTGTATTTTTGACGTCAAATCTAAATGATACCTAAATAARTAAATAAGAAACAATGAGGTTGACACAAAGTATACTCACAATATCACTTACACTTAATAATAATAGTATTTATATAGAACACTAAARTTTCAAACTGCAATCTCAAATAAAMMWTAAAACACATTTAATAAATTAAATTATATAGCTTTAGAACAAAATTAATATGTTATTTTTAATGATATAACATTTTAATTTTACCTACCTGTTTAGAACAGTATTAATATTTAAAATTCTAAATTTGTTTTTTCTTGTTTAAGATTTCCATGTAAACGTATAGATATAAATTACCTTAATCTAATAACAWAATAGGCAATTATTGTTTAAGATACTTTGTTGGTCAATATAAAATCCAAAATGATAGTAAAAATGTGMCAATTATTTGTAACAAACGCATTTGGTAAACATATTTATTCCTCTACGGGAAAAATATTAAACACATATTGATAGTTTATAGCTAGTTGATAACAATATATGATAATTGATAACACTGAACACATCGCAACCATCGTGATTACGGACTTGGCGATTTTGGTAAAATCAATKATATATTTGTATTTAAAATCATTGAACTACATGAAAAAATCATCTACATGTTATTCTTATATTAATATCGATGGTTAAAATTAATATCTGTGATTATCTAATCGCAAAAAAAATTAGTAACGATCATAAATTTTATGTTTTAAATGTACAAATAATTATA